CAGGAAGACGATGTGTTGCTTCACCTTTAAAAAAAAAAAAAAAAAAAAAAAAAAAAAAAAAAAAAAGGCTTTTTTCCAGAGAGGAAAAAATGATAGAGACTGTGCATCTGGGCTCAGGATGGTAAGCAGCAAGTTCACCCCTAGGAGAACCCGTCCAGGCCTGGAGAGAGGCTTCCATTTCAGAGCTGCACAGAACCTCGGCAGTAACTGGAATGAGTCAGGGGGTTACCAAATCTAGATTTGGTGTCTATTACCAAATCTACAACTTCTAGCTCCAGCTGTTTCCTGGTGTTTCATTATTACCAGTGGAAGGAACGGCATCTGACACTAACGAAATTGTCCTTAATGTTAACAGCTATCACTTATTAAGAAATTTCTATGTATACTCTACAAATTCATTTTTCCATAAATCCCTGAGACATAAATGCTAGTCTCATTTTTAGCAAGGGGAAATTCAAAAATTAGCTTGCTTAAATTCAGAGATAGTAGAAGGGGGATAAAAATCTTAGCTTTTCCTTCCCCAAAGCCAAAGCTTCTAAATGCCTAGCAGTCAAAAAAAAGCATTTGATGTTGATAAAATCAGTGCTTTTGTCTAATTTTTTCAAAAAAAAAATGTTGTTGATGATATCAAGGACGTTCTAGCACAGACTGGCTCTGTAAAACTAAAAATTTGCCAGAAGTCTACAATGTAATTGATTTTACATCTCTGGTAGGGAGGTTACAGACAATTCTAATGGGAAAACCAAAAGATAATATCGTTAGAAACCCTTTCTTAAGAGGGCTTTTTCCTGCGTCTCTAAGTTGTCAGGACTAATTAGATGAAGGCGAAGTCAGTGGTGACAGCGGCGATGCCTACGGCTGAGCTTCACCTGGCATCTGTGTCTGGAACTTAAGGAATGCAGCCCTCACCTTTTCTCTGCGCTGTTTTCCATTCCCGCTGCTGGGGAACTCAAGAATAGAGACATCACAGAAACCGCAGTATCAAAGCTATCTTACGATAAGGACCTTAAAGGCTAGATTATGCAAACGTATTCAATGGTTTATCGATAAAGTCTTTTGTTGCCAAATATGTCTTAAAATTGAACTGGTTCCAAATGAATAAAACTATTGTAATTTCGCGCATTATGTAAGAAAGGGGTCACATCATCAAATATTTATGGTATATTTTCTCTTTGTAAAATCCTTCAGATGGTCCCAATGAGATTTCAATTACGAGGGTCTGGATTAAATGTATTTAATCACATCTCATTCACCCCACGCAGAAAATCTGGTACATCTAGCGAACGATTGGCTTAAAAATAAACAGACTGATTTTCAAGTTTTTAACAACGGAGTTATGGCTTGGCAGTCAAATCCATGGGGAAACTTGAAAGCCACGCACACCACTGATCAAGTCGTGGCCTCAGATGAGCTTCACCGAGGAGTTCTCCAGGGAAAAAGTTAATGCATGCAAGCTTCTTGAAGGAGCCACAGCCTCCCATGCTGGCAGCCTGGGGCGGCCTGGGAAGGAGGGGTTGGGGAAGGCCCGGAGCGCAGGGCGCAGAGCCCAGAGCGCAAAGCGCGGGCATCGCCGCAGCCTGGACCGCGAACACCACTCCAGCCAGGACATCTCAGGACAGTGGGGCACAGCGCACCGCAAGGTCACCGCAACAGGGCGACTTTATATAATATCTCGCCGCGCCGCCGGGCACCTGCGCGGCACCCTCCGTGCGGCGCCTGAAAGCTGCCCTGCGGGGACCGACCGCCTGGGAACCCGGGTGGGGAGCCGGGACGGCGGGGACCCGGAACGGTGATGCCAGGGACAAGGAGCTGGGGACTGAGAGCCTGGGAGGCAGAGATGGTGGGGATTCGGAGCGGGAAGAGGAAGCAGGGATGCGGCGGTCAAGGAGCAGGGTCGGGGAGCGGAATTAGGGAACGGAACCGCGGTGTAGCGCCCCGCGGGGACCGACCCCGGCCAGGGAGGGCTAAGAGGAGCGGGCCGTCCGTCCGCGGGGCCACCCCGCCCCCCGCACACCTGCACGCGCCCTACCTGAGTGGCTTTGTGGAACTGCTTCTTCAACCCTGCCACCGACATGATGGGATGCGGGACGCGGCGCGGCGAGCGGCTACGGGCGCGGAGATGTGGCGGGGGTCGCCGGGCCGCCGCTGGTCCTGCGGCCGCGGGAGCTACTGGCGCGGGGGCGCGGCGCGGGACGCGGGCTTGTGCGGAGAGACACCCTGACGTCAGGGCGGGTGATGCGGCCTCTTAAAGGGGACGCGGGAAGCCCCGCCCCGGGCGACGGCGGGAGGCAGGTGAGCTCTAGGAACCCTGCAACTGTGTTGGGGCCCGGGTGCCCTATACAGTGAGAAGCCTGGGGCGATCGTCAGCCTTAGGGGTCGTCCGTGACCCTGGCATATTGATCACCGCACAGGAGCAATCCTGACTCAGGTGACCCAACCTCCAGGTAGCCGCAGTGGCGCTGCCTGCACACTGCCCTTGCCCTTTGAGCCTGGCCTTTCTGCAGCTCAAAAGCAGGGTGGCGGCCTATCTGGGTCATGAATAAGTCATTGCTCATTTCATGCCCTGCCTCCTTGCTTGGTTAGCCACATAAAACCTTTCCCTACCTTGGTTTCAATATCCCTTAAGTTTGTATCACCTTAGGGAAATCCATCAAGCTATTAACCCCACCTCCATTCCCCCCACACACCCTGCCTTCTGTCTAGATTAACTTAACTACTTAAAAAGAAGCCCCTACAGCTTGACTGGAACAAAGTTGAAGTGAGTTATTACTATTGTAATAGCATTTAATCTTCTATTTACAAAAGCAAAAAGTTGAATGTGAGCTTGGCACTCAAACAATTATTGTAAAGATTTGGGGGGTTTCATTCTAACAATCTTATATAATGAGGAAAGAAAGGCAAGGAAGTAAGTTATACAAACACCACAAAGGGACAAAGGGTGGAATTGGGTGAAGGGAACAGGGCAGCACCAGGTGTCGTCCCTGCTCTTCTTTGTCAAGCTTTTCTTGTACTGAAGAGCTTGTGGGAGAGAACTTAAATATGGACCAAGCCTGCACATGTAGATCAAAGTGATGAGCAAGAGAGGCCAGAGTGACAGCCACCAAGAAGAGAGTCATTACTAGGATGTATAGAGTCGACATGGCAAGGATCCTAGAAATACAGTTTTTGCTGTTCCCAGTCCCCTACTACCTGGTGTAAGGTAAGCATGCACACTCGTAGCCGCTGCAGCTTGAGTGGGGATGATTGAAGGGCTAGTGCCAGGGGATCCTGGACCTGGCCTGGGTACCAGCCATCCGTCCTCTTGTGAACTACAGTACAATGAACACTGGAGCAGCGAGCAGTGAGAAGCCCATGGCCCCCTCCTCCAGTCTGCAGCGCCAACCCAAGGGAAGAAGCAGAGCCACAGATCTGTAGCCCACTGCTTGATACTGCTCACATATCTTCTGAACTGTGTGACGCAGGGACAACATTGGTTAGTGGATTAAGACAGAAAGGACATATTACTTCTTGGCAAAGAATTCAGCTTTTGGTACAAGGGCCACAGGCTCTGTTCCCTCTGCCACCATTTTATGAGTTGGTCTGTCCACCATGATCCAGAGTGAGAATAAGGTAGGCCAAAAGCTAATGCTCGGTTTGTATTCTGATGGTGAGAAATAAATCTAAGTAAATTTAATCCATGGAGGTTGAGGTTATTAAGTGTAAACCTTTGCTCTGTTTTTATTAGTTTTAATTTTTTTTCATCATACCTATAATGGGAAAAGCATTTCACAGTCATTTTTACTACTTGATTCCCTGTTTAACAATGGAGAACATTTTTAGAGAGTGGACCTGGGCCAAAGTTGCCAAGAGACAGAGCAATTGTTCTGCAAAGTAAAGTGTCTGCAATTCACGACTTTGGTCTCCAACATGAAAGAAGTCAAATGCGACCTGAAGAGGCTCCTCAGAACTTTTGAGCAAAGCCGATCTCCACCTTTCCCTTGTTCTGTATCTCTTTTCTTTGAAAGCTTACACTGCTGAACATCAGAGAAACTACTGTGAGTTCTCCCGAGGAACGTGAAGCTCTTTGAATCTACTGGTATCACCTACATCTTGTCGAAATCAGCGATTCCATGTAAGCCACGATCGGTACTTATGAAAAACTGGAAGAGTGGCATTGACAATCTCTGTTTGGAAGGTATCTTAGGGAGAGGTGTTAGAAGATGGTATAGAAAGATATCAAGAAACACAACCTGGGCATTGAACCTCAAGGTTAGTGGTTCACAACCTTCCTAATGCTGTGACCCTTTAGGGCAGTTCTTCGTGTTGTAGTGACCCTCACCCATAAAAGTATTTTTGTTTCTATTTCATAACTGCAGTTTTGCTACTATTATGAATTATAATTTCAATATCTGTGTTTTCTGATGGACTAGACAACCCCTCTGGAAGGGTCATTTGACATGCAGAGGGGGCATGACTCACAGGTTGAGAACCCCTGCCCAAGGTATTTCCAGACCAGTGATTCAAAACCTCCTTTTTATGGACATTTACTCTGACTTGCATGCAGAGGGGAAAAGCGTGTGATGCTGAAAGCCCCTAACATGGGCATTCTTTCATCCCAAAGATCTGTCAGAAAAGCTCAGGGCATGTTGGAACAAAGGTCAGTGAGCGAGGGCTTTGATGAACTCAACATTTTACCCTCTAGTCTCCTGAGATCAAAAAATAAAATCACTGTAAATTGCTAAATAAACCTAGGTCAGCTCAAGAAAGTCCCAATTAGGTGAACCCCCTACATAGCACCACCTCACTAATTGGGCAGTAAACTCATGGTCAGCAATAATTTCATCAGATCATTTATGCACTGCTTCTCCTTGCATTATGGTAAAGCTTCCAGAAAATACCAGGCTGCTAGATTGCACAGAGCTGATGCATTCTTAGCAGCTTTCAGGGGGCTGCAGATCCCAGGAGACACATGGAAAGCAGCCCCTTCCATCTTCCTCCCTGTTGGCCCTGTTGTCAGCCCCTGGCCAGCACAGGGGTGAACTGCTCTAGAGTTTGTGTGCAGCTCAGGGAGCATGCGAAGCACAGCAAAGACCTTCAGTCCTAGCTTCAGACCTGAAAGAGAAGAAATCCGCGGTGACCCAAGGCGGTGACTCAGGCATCTTTTCCCACTGCAGCCTCTTGCTGCAGACTCAGGACTGTTTCTCCAGCATGAAGTGTAGGCGAGAATGGCTGACTGAATGCACAATGCTGTCATTAAATCACACGTTCACCAGCTTTGCCACATAGCCCTGTATTAAAGCTGTCCTTGGTGAGTGGCCTGAAACATTTTGTGCTTGTGGAAGCTACCCAAGAGCCCTAGCGTTTGCCCAGAGTGGGCAGGGCTAGCGACACCTTCCCAGAAATGAGAAATCAAGGGGAAGGCCACTTCCAGGTCTCAGCTTTCAGATCCCTCCCTGACAACAACTACACAGGGAGGTACGTTTTGTAGGTCTCTTTGGGGTAGAACGTGAAAGTCTTTTATTCCTGTGATAGCCCAACTCCATCCAAGGCACAGTAGGTGTCTCCTACCTAAGCCCTATTAACCTAATCACTGAAGGAAGAGGAGCCGAGTGAGGGGCTCACATCAGCCATCTGTGTCTGTAGGGTATTCCTCATTTATAAGTCAGTTTGAAATGCCCGGACACTCCAGGCAGACTGCCACCTCCAGTCCCTTGTCTTCAAAGCCTTTCCCCATCCTCTACCTTTCTTGTCCTTTCCTCATTTTTTAGAGCCTCTGTACCCCTGCTGTGAACATGGTCTAATATGTATTTGTAAACATTTATATTGAATCTTAGGTTGTTAACTCTTTAACCACAAGGACTTATTATCTTGACTTGTATATTACTCTGCAGACCATACGAAGACCCGTTAGTTATACCCTAATTGAATTTTAAATTTAAAATGATGAATTTTTTAATTAGACTATTTTCAGTGAAACTAGACATATCTGCATATGGCATTTGCTCCCACGTCACCCATTTCTGCCCCTTGGATATCCAGTGTCTGGTCAACTCCGAGAGTTTCTGATGTCTTTCCTTCAGCATCCACTTTGTTTCATCAAATAAAACCCTTTTCTGTTTGTAATCACTAGCTCTTGCCTTGAAATCTCTGGTCCATTCTGTGCTGGCTGCAACTCAAATCTGGAGATTTGGGAAGCCCCAGTTCTGCTCACAGTCTTCCTTTATCAGAGGAGAGCAGTCAGAGTAAAAAGAAAGGTAACATTTTAGCAAGTGTCAGTTCTTTCTGTGAGACATGGAAGTTCTGATTTACAATCAAACTTGTCTCTTATTTGGTGAGTCTGTATCAGATTACCAAGGCCAGACCCTGCCTCAGCCCCTGGGAACTGGCAGCTGAATGCTTGTAAGTAAATGGCAAACAACTAGACCTTGAGAGGGTGCACTCAGTTCTAGAATGAGCACAGCTTCAATTAGGAGCAAATCATTAGGGCATCTTTACCATAGGCTTGTCTATTCTATTCCTGGGCAGATATTACCATAAAAGATGCTAAAGACATCTAACACAGCCCTGAGCTTAGGCACTGGCTAGTCAGGCTGCTAAAGCATTGTGCTAAAGAGGTCATGTTCTGTTGCTATTTTCGTAGCTAGCCAGCTATGCAGAGAAAAGCTGCTCCTCAGTCACAGAACACGTTTTACCATTAGCTGGAGGTTGCATTCTCCTGATTGTGGAAATCCAGAAGGAGAAAAGAGATCAGAAAGGAGAGCCAGTTTGGCTTAACACAAATCCACCAACAGTGCTGAGAGCTCAGGGTGCTGCTTCTGCTCTTCTCTTAGTATCAGCATTATACATATAAAAATGGATTGGTTGTGTTTTAACACACTTTTAAAGGGGGTAAGAATTCTTCTTTAAAAGGGATGAAACAGGGCTGGAGAGATGGCTCAGAGGTTGGGAGCACTGACTGCTCTTCCAGAGGTCCTGAGTTCGGTTCCCAGCAACCACACAGTGGCTCACAACCATCTATAATGAGATCTGGTGCCCTCTTCTGGCATACAAGCATACATGGAAGGAATGTTGTATACATAATAAATAAATAAATCTTTCAAAAAAATAAAATAAAAAATAAAAGGAATGAAACAATTCATAATTTACAGCTATTTTAATAGATCATTCATTTATGACTGGTTAGAACCTTTTAAAATATTTCATAGACTGGCTGTTATTCCATGTG